CTTGGCCATGTAATGGGCCACAGTATTGGCTCTCCTGCCCACAGAAAGGAACTTGATATTATTGAATCTCTTAGCAAGGAGTCATGGATCTGCTATAAAAAAGAGAGAGAATTTGCTGAATGCAATAGCTATTCAGTGGGCTGTAAAACCAAAGATGATGCTCCACATCAATCATAAACTACATAGAACCCACAACCATGGTATCAGTTAATTTGAATTAACATGATCCATAGCAATGCATGTCAGTACATACATCAAGTCATCAATGACAACATACAACTATGAAACATGTGTGAGATGTAGAAATGATCATTTTAGCCCGGCCCAACTCAACTAAAAAATTCTAGGTTTTGTGTTCAGGCACGGCCTGGGGCAAAGCCCAGCACGAGCTTGGCCCATCATCAATAACGGTGCAGCAGTTATTTTTCTCTTGCTACTTTCTACAAGTGCATTCGTTACCTCAAGTTGGTGCTGTGCGTATCACAACTCATAAGCATAACCACTGTATCATACACTCAGAACATTGTGCCGTTTCAATTTTCAAGTACATTTCACATGTGCGTACCAGTTGATTGGGCATAATATTCCAAATATACGGTTCGAGATTCTTCTGTAACTGTAACGGCTTAAAGCAATAAAAGAAAAGGAAATTCGTTTCCTTGACATATTCCTAATTCCCAATAATGTATATGGCCTAAGGTCAGATTCTGCAGGTTCAATTTCCTGCAACCAAGTTGTTGTGATAATGCTGCAACATGGGTGAGCCGAATCTATGCCTAACACCCAACACTTGTTGGGTTTTGGATTTTAGGCTTCCGAGGCTTGGGACTGAAAACGGGCTTGGGTTGTGTCCATTCTGAACCCAGACTGAGCCCACTCCTATCCGACCCAAGCCTGCCAACATTCTACCTATATTTTGTGAGTATATATACAGTTCATACTCTTGCACAAACATCTACAAGCAGACATGAGACACAGAGCCAGAGGCCTGACCAAGTCCACCCTCGCCTTTCCAGACCCAACTCCCAAGCCTGGTTTAAGTTCTATAGGCTGCTTTTGGAAACGGTGCAGATAAAGTATAAATGCCAGTTCAGTGCAAATACGCATTCTGGTTTAGCTTTGCTGGCATTTGGCAAGAAACCATTTATGTATTGATAATGACAGAAAAAACAGTTTCTAAGGCATATTTACATGTAAAATGAGAAATAATTCTACACCAAAAAAAAGTGTAAATGACAGAAAATGCAGCGATGGGGTCTAATTAGAGGTGTCAATTGGACTGGATTAGGTCCAATCCAATTCAATGAATATTTTGGATCAATTTGGATCGACCCAATTCAATGTCTGGACCATTCAATCTGTTCAAATTCATTTTGATTTAGATTGGTTTCAAGCCAAATCCGATTCATTGACACATATATTCTTATCTTAATATCAATGGATCAGATATCGGCTTAATCCAATCTAAGCCGATATAAATTTGTTAGGGACGGACTAAGTCTAATCCAATCTAATAAATATTTTGGATCAGATTGACCCAATCCAATATGTCTTGTTGGTTCGTTCAATCCGTCCAAATTGATTTTGGACTGGACGGGTCCAATCCAAAACCGTTCCATTGATACCCTTAGGTCTAACTCCAATTTGGCTCGGATTATGCTGCAGCTGCCTGCAGGAAAGACAATGATACTGGGAGGGCTTTGACAGCAAACTAAGCCTGAGAACACAGAAGGAGAAGGAGCTGGACTTTTTTTTCATACGTACTACGCGCCATAGGGCATATGGTTAACCTGACACTTGAGAAAAGGTGGTTCAGCTAATTGACAGGCAATGGCGAGTTGGCGACGGACTTTTGCATGGAATCATGAACACATGTAACATGAAATAACTGTTGTGGAATTCGTTTGTCCACTTTCTTTGGGTCAATTTGTGAAGCCCATATGCATGCCTGATTTTGGGTCCACAGAACATGTTTCTTTTAGTCGTGGGCCGAGATTTTGTTGGGCACACGAACTTTCTCCTATTGGACCCATCTGTATCACTTCTGGGCCCCAAATTTTTGGTTTCATAAAGGATACATGGCATTTTTTTTCCTTCTTTTCTTTCCTGTCGTGGGATTAAGTAGATGATATAGGACATTTTGTTAAGCTTTCATTAATTTAAGATTTTATTTGCACATATTTCCTCTATTTTTGGTTTTAAGTCCCTGTAGATAGGAACGAACATTTCCAAGTTTTCTTTCCTCCGCTTGAGCTCAACCATTTGGGCCTGGGGGACCAATCACCTGGTATATAACTTTACGTGGATATATCAAAAAAAAAAAAAAAACTTTACGCGGAAATATTAAAGGAACCAGACTTTGTTTGGTCGGTCCATACTCCACAACATTATTGGTCTGACCTCTACTCTAACTACGAACTGTCATCAATGAATTAAATATTTAAGAGATTCTTTCCATGGATTGATTGTGGATTTGTCTTCTTCAACAAACAGCTTTGACCTTATTAATCCGGTGCCAGGTGCCTTGTCCATCGGAAGTTAAACATGTGCCATGGTTCATTGTGCACATGGCCATGCAAACAAAACCTTGGGTTGGTTTTCGAATACTCGAACGTCAGACGCTAACCACCGACTCAACTCGGCCGAGTTTTCAAAGACGGTTTATCACCACACTTGCTCGCTGTGGTCCATGTGTCGAGATAAAATCAACGCGGACGCGAAGGCATTCTATTGTGCAGAAGTGGATAGACAACCCAAGCATCGCCAGCTCAGCACACCGGATGAATGATGTAAACAAGGAAGACATACCATGTTACCGCCGAAAATAGAAAGCTACGTTGCTACGATTTTGCCACGTCAGCCGGTCTAAACTACAGGGTTCAAATGGTCAACAATGCTAATCTTCTGATAAAATTTTTATTTATTCCAGTCTTAATCTTCTGCCTTCAACGTATGGAATCAAGTCAGATTATTACTTTACGAAGCTTTCTCCAATTCCCCCCTGAGCACCAATTACAATGCATGAGCCGGCCGGCCGGTCTAGTTTTTTTTAACTTATCCAAAATGCCCGGAAATACACCAACCATATGAGTTCTTTAGATCATTTGAGTGGTCTAGAAAAAAAAAATTGGTACTCAAAAGTTGTCACGTTCTTAAAATAATAAAATACTCACGTACATTCACCATGTGTTTGGATAAAGGCGGAAATGGATTATATAAAAAGTGGGATTTTGAAAGACTAATAGATTTTATGACTCAAATTTCTTTCGAATCCTTCCGTAAAATTTCAAAAAACATATATAATTAGAATAGGATGCACAAATGAAACGATAATGTTATGTGATAGAAGAATAACTCTTAACTGAAAGGAAATTTTTATAAAACATTTATAAGACCACTGTGTTGTACAAAACAGTGTATTGGTCAGTTAACCCAAAACAGTGTGTGGCGGAAATGTGAATGCTCATGTGGATGAGTGGTACAATTAGAAAGGATGACATCAGCAAGGAAGTTATATTAAGGAACCCATGAAAAGCATCAATAGGGAAGTAATGCAAATCAAGGTACTGAAATTAATCAAAAGAACGAGTCTTGGTTTAAGTCAACATCTATCATCTGAATTTCACTACTGCTCATCGATGTAAAGATATATCAATTCAGATTTTCAATTTTCATCGTAGGAATTATTTTCCTGTATCTCCCTAGTCACAGTTAATCAGAAAACAAGTGATCATCTTAACCCTTACAACTGAACAATCCCTAAACATGCATTAAAGATTTAATCCAACAGTAGCCTTAAGCATTAGAGGTTGATGAAGCTAAACAACACAAGCATAAGCGGTTGCATTTAATTCAGTTGAGTGTTCTTCCTAAGATCTAACAATTTTTGACGCAACAAATCATTAAACCCTAGTTGCTTCGCAGATTAGAGGGATCAAACAATTATGGATCTGATATCTAACCTAGCAGTAGATTGCAACGAATAATAAACTAGTAGGCCTCCTAGCAATCAGACGAAACAATCATAAACACAAACATAGAAGAACATTCGATATTCAAAACATAAATCAAACAATAAAAATCAAATTAGATCTCACATTTTGCTGATTCTGAGGCTTCTGTTTCCTTCGATCAAGTATCAGAATGTAACCACACATGGTCATGGTGAAAACTCAAGAAAGAATTGGAGAGGAAGAAGAGAGGGGCAGCAACCTAGGTCTGATTGTTTTTTTCTTGTTTTTCTTCTTCTTTTCTTTCTTTTTACTTCCCGTAAGAGAAGCCTACAAAATCTCCTAAAATTTCTCCAGATAACAGTCTCCAAGTGGGAGAGTGGTGATTTCGCATATGAAAACTTGAAGGCTAAGGAACGTTTCCAGCACGTTAGCAACGCGGTTGCAACTACTTCGGGTCCGATTTCGACTCCGATGCAGTTAGTATCTATCAAAATTCAAAACATGAAAATTGTAAAGTTTTTCCTTATCATTCCAAAATAGTCCAATTAGCTTCGTTTTTCACTTAATGCCTCCATTTGTGCCATAAATCAAAATATAAGAATAATGAGTTAATTTAAACACTAAATAAATATAAAAGATTAAATATTAATAAAGAAAAATATAACATTTTGCATTCTCATCACAACCACATATATATATATATATATAATTGTTGATTTGGACGATGGAATTAACCATGTGCCCAATCCAGTGGGCCCTCCATCTCATGAGATCACTCAGCTCTATGCATGTTTTAGAAATAGAGAAGGGTTTATGTAGGGTAGGATGCAAATGTTGATAGTATAATTATCGTAGTTTAAAGGATCTGAACGAGATTTATCATAATCAATTGGGATTGATGATCACTTTATAACACCCCTAAAAAACAATCTGTTACAAGTGGCCTGAAATGACTAAAAGGGTTAAAGTCACACCAAAAAGAACATGGTTTGAATTGGTAAGCGCTCTCATAATTTAACAGGCAATACACCATTAAAGAAAACGTAATTGGCCAAACAGCACCCCCATATAATTGGGGTTGATCATTGGTGAGAGTTTATTATACCACAATGCGTCAAGCTACAAAACCACGCATAAACTCTGAAAACCCTTTTATCAAAATTAAACAAAGTGAAAATCAAAAAGGTTGATAGCGTTCGGACAATAATCGTTGATTAACAAAGAAAAATACCAAAGAAATGACGCCAAAAGTTTTTGCTCAGTTCCATTAGCCCCAGCCCCAAAGAATCAGGAAAATTTCACACACACAAGGAAAAAAAAAAAATCTTTATGAATTGGATGAAACTGGAGCTACGTCCCTCCTGTAGTCCTGTATCCATCCAATGACTGTTCATGAAATTTGACTTTGCATCGTTCCTTTTCTCTTCCTCTCACTTGATTCAAGTTTTTGATTGACAACGATTTCCAAACGGGTCTAGTGGGTCCAAGAGAGAGACTACCGAATAACGATTTTGGGTTTTTGCTATAAGGTATGGCAGATCTCTTTGTCAGTTGTCACTGCATGTAACCGAAGCTTCCCGATGTCGGTTGAACAGTGTATGTGAATCTAAACCCAAATGGGTCTACCGGGTCGGGTAATTGCTGTTTCATCAACATGTTTGAGCTTGGCTGAAAGGAGCTCCGATTGTCCACTCGCTGTGATTTCACCCTGCTCTCAACTTCTTCTTCTATGGATCTCCCTCCAAATTTCTCCGACGGAGAATCCACTTGGAATAGCGGAGGTACGGTTGGAAGGTAAAAGTCCGTCTCTAGTCTCTGTGTTGGATTGTTGTTGATGGGTTGGGACGAAGAACCCATCCCTCCTGAACTGACCCAATCGAACTTTCCCGTATCAATGCTCTGAACGTTGGGTTTATCTTCTCTTAGTTGTAAGTTTCTGAGAGAGTCTATTCGAGGTAATTGAAAAAACTGGTCATCAATCTCTGGTAGCGATTCAAGTACATCATCCAGGTGCGAAGAAGACGATGAAGATGAAGTGTGGGTCTGTTCTTTGTTCCATGCATTCTGTACCGACTTTTCTGCATTCGAGTGTTTCTTGTAAATTCGGCACAGAACCCAATCATCCAACTGGAAGAAAAATAACAACAATCAGGATATCGGGAGAAATCTTGTTTAAGAAAAGAAGAATTCTCAGTATAAGTTTTCTGGGTTTTCTTACCGAAGAGCTTTCATTCTTCTTAGGGGGCCCTAAAAGCCGATATTCATGCATAATCCAGTTCGTCTTCGTCCCTTTGGGAGCTTTTCCAACGTAAAAAACAAGGGCTTTCTTAGTTCCAATTTTACGACCTTCCATCGTGATAGCTTTATCTGTTCCTGTTGCTTTCCAATAACCAGAACCAGCAACTCTGTTTGGCCGTGAACCGTTTGGATATTTTCGTTCTCTGGGACTGAAAAAATACCATTCTTTTTCTCCGAAGGTAGCTTTACCTGTAAAAAAATCACAACCCAGAATTTAGAAATAGTTTTTAAGAGTGGATTTGATTTAATAGCGGGTTGTGATTGCGCAATTGAGATTTGAGAATCTTACTGGGAAGAATCCATGGATCAAACTTGTAAAGATCAACCTCGCCGATAATGTCCAAGGAGAAATCATGTCCAGCGACTTTCCGGCATAAGTAATGAACCAAGAGCTCCTCGTCCGTCGGATAAAATCGGAATCCCGGTGGCAGCGCAAGCTGCGAAGCAGGGTCTCTGTCTGGAATCATCATGGGAGTTTTCTTGTTTTCGTCAGCGACCGACTGGGCAGAGGGAGAGGAAGACGACCAGTCTATGTATTTCGCTGTTGATCATTTACACGGTTTCAAGCCTAAGGAGTTATAAATAGGAAGGAATATGGTACGGATGATCAATCATCGTGGGACCACACTCTAGAAGGGGGGGACCATGAAGAGTTAGTCACGGCTCACAGAGAGACACGTGCAATTGTGCAAATAAGGTTCGAGTTTATCGTGCGGCTGATCTTATCCGAAATTCGAGGGGCGTTGATAAGGCCGTTTGGGTTCGTGAACAGTCGCGTAAAGGATCAGGGTAGAGTAGAGAATGGGGAGCGTATGACACGTAGCAAAGGGTTAGGAGCAATTTCCAGAGAGGTTCGGGAGTTTTGGAATGTTTAATGTGTATACTTGCGTACGTGGAAGCTTGGAGGACAAGGGTCGGCAGTTAGGCGGAATTCTGCGGAAAAGTAGAGGGAGTGAAAAGGAAAGAAAAGGGATCCATATATAAGAAAAAGGAAAATGAGAAAAACGGAGAAAGGGAAAAGAAAGGAAAAGGCAGCGAAACGGTGGTAACTGTGCTATACAGTGCCGACACCGAGGCTTGTTCATTGTTGGGCCCTTTCTTTCTTTAATAAGAAAAAGATACTACTTAAAATTCACTATGATTTTTTTTTTTTAATTTCTCTTAAATTTTGCATGACTTTTCAAACCTCCATCAACCCATGTCAATGAGTTTTATATTATTTAAAATTCGGTTTTCATTAGGCTGTGTTTCATTTGAAAGAAAAAGTAGGGAAAGGAAAGGAAAGGAAAGGAAAGGTAGGGATATCTTTACATACTTTGTATGGGTTTTTCTACCTTTCCTTTCCTTTCCCTACTTTTTCCTTCAAACCAAACATTGCCTTAGATTTATGTCAATGATTATTAATATAAATTGTTTGTACTCTCAATGCGTCGGGATCCGATCCGATGAATATGAACCAATTGGGTTGATTCTAAGGGTGTCAATGGACCGGTTTTGGATTAGACCCCGTCCAATCTAAAATTAATTTGAACGGATTGGATGGACCAATAAGACATATTGGATTGGACCAATCTGATCCAAAATATTTATTAGATTGGATTGGACCTGGTCCATCCATAACAAATTTATATCGGATTGGGTTGGATTAAGCCAATATCTGGTCCATTGATATAAGATAATAATATGTGTTAATGGACCAGGTTTGGGTTGAAACCAATGTAAATCAAAATGAATTTGAACAGATTGGACAGTCCAGACATTGAACTGGACCAGTCCAAATTCGTCCAAAACATTCATTGGATTAGATTAGACCTGGTTCATTTATAATGGAGTCACATTGGATTCGATTGGATTGGACCAAATCGAGTCCAATTGACACCCTTAATTGATTCTGATTCTAGGATTTAATATCAATGAATCAGTGATTATTAATATTTTTGGCAGGTTTATTATAATCAAAGATCAGATTGTCTCGAGAACTGATAGGTTCGGTTCTAGGTATCCTTTAGGATATGATTCAGTTCTAGTTCCTTAATATTTCTTGTCGAATTGGTTTTAGTTCTGCCTAAGCCCTATCTGTTGGTTGCCCTAGAAGTTGTCCACATAAGCATTTGAGTAATTTATATGATAACTCCCCCTGAAAGCCAATCAAGCTTATTAAATACTTTTTTTATAATAAAGTACCCTTGGTTCAAGTCTGGGTCCACACTAGGCCACTAGAATAAGGTTGAATGATCACTCAAGGGTAGTTCAGTTTATGTAAGATACTTAAATCCATACATGGACAACTACTATTAATGATCACCAATAGTGATCTAAAGGAAATCTAGTGGTGTAAAACGGGTCGTGTTAGGCCAGCATGGCATGGCCCGTGTGCGGCCCATGCAAAGTGTGGGTTGGACCTCCCTCCCTTGGGATATTTTAGGGGGTCGGCCCACGACCATAATTAATAAAATTGAAAAAAAATGTTTATTTTATTAATATATTATATATTAGTATATAATTATAATTTGTATAATATGTTATATATTATATATTATATATAAATATATGAAATATATATATATATATGAGTCGTGCCAGCACGTGGGCAATGAGTGGCACGGCATGACAGTGCGGGCTATGCCAGCCCAGCACACTGACCTGAAACCCCAAGCCCGACATGGTCCATTGGCACATACAATCGTGCTAGGCCACGGCATGGCCCGATTTACACCTCTACGGAAATCTTAAGGGAAGATGAGTTTTGGACGATAAAACTCATTGATAGGAGGCTCTTTGGAGATTTTGAAAAGCCATGATGAATTTAAGAAAAATAACTAAAAATTCACAATGAGTTTTAGATTAGCATTCCATATAAAAACAAAAGTATTTTTCTTAATTGGGAAAATTAGTTAACCTTGTGTGTTTCTGACAAATTCTTAGAATTAAATTACTTTTTTTTCTTATTAACAAGGAAAATTACTTAAACTTTGTGTTTTTTTTTCGACATATACTTAGAATTAGACCTTTGCAAAACCTTCCTGGAGTGTGGGAAAAGTGCAAAAGCTTATATATTATATTTGTATTTGTACTATTTCCAAACTTTAATTTCAAATAAATATGCAAATACACCCCCTTTTGTTAGTTGAACCCAGATTTTTTTAAAATGATAAGTGAAATGGTGCAAATAGTTTTGGGAGCACGACATCTAGCTGCACATTGGGAATACCTCCTATACATGTATGTTAAATTCATGGAGAGATGCTTCCAATGTGTGACTGCTAGATATCATATTCTTAATGTTTGCATGAATTTTTGCTAAAGGAAATTAGGGATATTCATTATATGGTTAAAACCGCAAAACCAAATAAACCAAACCGAATTTGCAATTTAGTTTGGCTTATAACTATAAACGGTTTGGTTCGGTTTGAGAATTTTCTAAATTACAATTTACGGTTAGGGTTTGATTTATTGAATTTTATAAACCAAACCAAACCATAAACCTTAAACCGAAATTATATATATATATATATATATATATGAATATATGATATATAAATATTATATATAATATATCAAATGGAATTTATAAAATTATAAATATATAATGAACTCTTTATTTTATAATAAAATAATAAATAAAAGTTTTAAGTTTTAAATTTTAAGGGAATTATTTGGGCTTTCTAATTGGGTTAAACCCAAAAAAAATCATAGAATGGTCTAAAGTCCTTAAACCGTATTAGAAACTACACCAAACCATAATAAAATGGTTTGGTTTGGTTTGATTTTTATATCAAAACGGTTTGGTTCAGTTTAGAAATTTCTCAAACCGTAATTTATCAGTTTTGGTCTGAGATCTTCTCTAAACCGCACCATGAATACCCCTAGAGGAAATCTGGTTTCTTGTAAGTTATATCCTTTTATAGAGGCACCAAGATTATGACTATGCCCATGTTACGAGTGTGCATAGAAAAATGCTAATGTTCTCTCTTTAGATTGTGTAAGTATCGTACTTCTGATAATAAGGAAGATTAGCTTTTGTTATTTACTTGAGGCCAGTTTAAGTGCCCATTTGGGAGGGCTTTTGAAATGTGGCTTCTGGCGTTCCAAGCTCAGCCCCACACAGGAATGTTAAGAGCTATGTTTGTTGAAAATCCAGAAAGCATGCCACTGTATTCTGGATGCAAGAAACGCAATTGTAATATGGGGCTAGTCTAGGTAGCTTCTCAGGAATACAGGTGCTCAACCACCACAGCTCCATCACAATTCACCACTGGTGCAGAAACCGTATGAAATTGGCTATAAGAGGGTTGAAGCTTAGGTGGCATTTGATAAATCTAAAATCTGAAATGTAAAAAGTTAAAAAGATATTAAAAGTGTTTGAAATCTAAAAAGAGGCACAAATGCTTTTTTACTTTTTAAAGCCTCTAAATAGTTAAGGTTGTTTGTGTTTAATCAATCCTTTAACATCTACAATTTCCTGATTTTACTATTTTATCCCTAAAATAGATTAATTGGTAATTTTAAGTTTAATTTGCACTGTTTCATAAAAATAATTTATTAAATTTAAAACAATATTGAAAAATATGAATAAATAATTAATAATTAATAAAAAATTAATAACAACAATTAATAATTAAAAATTATTAAAATAATTGGTAATTAATAAAAACTAAAATAGATAGTAATTAATACAAATAAAAATTATAAAAAATAAAAAATATTAAATTCAAAATAATATTGAAATTTATGAATAAATTATGAAAATTAAAAATAATTTATTAATACAAGAATAAATTTTGAAAATATGTATAAATTTATAAATTAAAAATAAATGATTAAAAATTAAAATGATATTGAAAATAGTAATAAAATCCATGAAGCAAATAAAAATTAATGTAATGAATTTATTAAAGAACATCAATCGGTAAACTACAAGCCCAATTTCAGTTTATTGAATTCTAGGTGCATACTGATTATGGATATATCCAACGATTTGTTCCTCAATAAAAAAAAGGGATGAATTCTGATTGCTTTTCCTTGCAAGTAGATATGGACAAAATGAAAAATTCGACATTCAACTAATAGAATTACTCTCCTTCAACGATAGAAAACAATTTCTTGGCAGAGATACAAGCTTTGACCCTTTCAAAGATCCTTGAGGTATGAGAAATCAACCAAGTCATTGTTGGCTTGTGAAATTCGGAAAACATCATCCCAGCTGGAGCTATTCGCCATCATAGAAGGGGAATGAAACCTTATTAGATTGAACTGGAACGAACATATCAGAAATATTGGGATATTGGTTCGAAGGAGAGGAAAGGATTACAGGTCATGAGCGCCAAAGTTGTCTACACTGTGCACCACAGAGCACTAACATCGGAATGCTATTTAAAACCCTAAAAAATGTAGAAAACAGTAAGAAGGAAAGTGAATGCTTGGATTTATAACAATGAAGAAGTAAAACAAAAAGCAAAAGTTGGATTTGAGACGTTAAACGTACCTGATTCGAGAGAAAGAATATGAATGCTTGGATTCGGCAGTGCGGCGATTGTT